ATAGTGGGAGAGAGCATAAGCAGGGGGAGCAGCAAGCAGAGGGAGAGGGAGAAGCAGGCTCCTTGCTGAGCAGGGAGCCTAATGTGGGACTTGAGCCCAGGACCCTGGGATCATGACCTGATCTGAAGGCAGACCCTTAACTGATTGAGCCACTCAGGCACCCCTAAATAAAGAAAATCTTTAAAAAATAAAAATAAGGGGGCACCTGGGTGGCTCAGTGGGTTAAAGCCTCTGCCTTCGGCTCAGGTCATGATCCCGGGGTCTTGGGATCGAGCCCCGCATCGGGCTCTCTTCTCAGCGGGGAGCCTGCTTCCTCCTCTCTCTCTCTCTGCCTGCCTCTCTGCCTATATGTGATCTCCGTCTGTCAAATAAATAAATAAAATCTTTATTTTTTTTTATTTTTTTTTAAAGATTTTATTTATTTATTTGACAGACGGAGATCACAAGTAGGCAGAGAGGCAGGCAGAGAGAGAGGAGGAAGCAGTCTCCCCGCTGAGAAGAGAGCCCGATGCGGGGCTCGATCCCAGGACCCCGGGATCATGACCTGAGCCGAAGGCAGAGGCTTTAACCCACTGAGCCACCCAGGCGCCCCTAAATAAAATCTTTAAAAAAATAAAAATAAAAATAAGGGTGGCTGGGTGGCTCAGTTGGTTAAGTGACTACCTTCAGCTCAGGTAATGATTCTGCAGTCTGCTTCTCCCTCTGACCCTCCCCCTTTTTGTGCTCTCTCTCATTCTCTCTCTCAAATATAAATAAAATATTTTTTAAAAATAAAGTAAAAAATGAAAATAATAAAAATTAAAATTAAAAATCTTAAATAATTTTTAAAAATATTTTATTTATTTATTTGAGAGAGAGAGAGTGAGTAAAAGAGAGCATGAGAGGGTAGAAGGTCAGAGGGAGAAGCAGACCTCCCTGCAGAGCTGGGAGCCCCATGTGGGACTAAATCCCAGAACTCCAGGATCATGTCCTGAGCTGAAGGCAGTCACTTAACCAACTGAGCCACCCAGGTGCCCTTAAATAATTTTTTAAAGAAAGAAAAAAGAAAACATATCAAGTAAAAGGAAAAAATTTTGTAAAACAATATGTAGCATATGATCCCAGTTTTATTTAAAAGTTACAGGTATTTGTAGGAAACTGATTAAAGGTAAATATATCAAAATAGTAACATTGACTATATCAGGGTGATTTTTGTGTTATTCTTTCTTTATGTATACTTTGTTTCAGATGTTTTACAATGAACATAACTTGCTTTAAAAAAAAAAGATTGTATTTGTGAGAGAGAGAGAGAGTGCGCACACAAGCAGGGGGAGTGGGAGGCAGAGAAGCAGACTCCCCACTGAGCAGGGAGCCCGATGCGGGATTTGATCCCAGAACCCTGAGATCATGAACTGAGCCAAAGGCAGCTGCTTAACTGACTGAGCCACCCAGGCATCCCCATAAATTGCTTTTCTAATCAGGAAAAACAGTCCTAATTTAAATACAAGATGTAGGTGTCGGCCAGAAGGCTGTGTAGTAGTATGGTTTGACCTGAGGCTCTACACCCCCTAGGAATCCCCCTGTTGACCAAAATAACATATTAGGGAGAATTTTCTTGGTGTTGCTAAGAGTGTTGTAGGGAGGGAGAGGCCAAGCAGCAAGGAGGGCAACTGAAAGGCTCCGGTCCTTGTCTAGGTATGAAGGCAAGGGCCTCATCAGTGGGCCGATGGGAAATCAGTGTCCTTTCCCAGCTTCCTGTTCTTCCCTGTCCTGGATCTCAGGCACCCCTAAATAAAGAAACAACCCGTGGTGTTTGCTAGCCCCAAGTCCATTGTTCTCTTGGCCTCTGTCCTAGGTTAGGGTTAAGGCAATTGTGAGCTTAAGAAGGTAGAAGGAAAAGGGCTAGCTAGCTAGCAAGCTGTCTGCCTTTTTAGAGTATTCCCAGCCCTGTGAAAAGTTGGAGACGTTCTTTGTGCCCAAAGGTGCCTGTAGCACCAAGAGTGTTTTTCTGGCTTGACTTTGTACCAAGTAGCCTTTCCTATACCAGGTACTTGGCCTCTATCCGCTCTTCTGGTTGGGTTCTAAGCCCATTTGACCCCTTTCTTCCTTCATTTCCTGTGACTGGAGTGGCATCCCCAGTTGGAATGGTTCCCTCCTTCCATATAAGCAAAACAAATCTTTGGATTCTCCCTGAGGCGGAATGCCTCCCAGAAGTGACTCCCCTACAAGGCTGCCTTACTGGATCAACCAGCACAGGGCAGCCCAAATATGTGAACTCAGGAACCAAGGCAGTCCTCTGATCCACAGCGTATCTGGGAAGCAGATGTGCGGAGTGAGACTGGCACCTTTCTGTATCACCTCAGGGTTCCCCGGGCACAGAGGAACATGTCACATTTCCTCTGTTTCCTGCTGGGGGGAATTTCTCTATGCTCTTTCTCCCCCTTAGACCCTGTCTGAGAAGCCTGAGTGGACAGAGGGTCCACTCTACGTGAGGGCTGGAAGAAGAGCTCTTTGTGTGCTAGGAATTTGAGGGAAGCCTGGATGGCCACCCTGGCCCCATGCCATAAAATGGTTTATTGGCCATATACTATAGATTTATTCATGTTCCTATTTAATCCCAGGATGCCAAAACATCTTAACATATCTTACTCATGTATTTTTTAACAGCAAATTGAGACAAATTGACATACCATACAGTTCACCTGAAATATACAGTTCTGTGGTTTTTAGTATATTCAGAGTTGTGCAGTCATCACCATAATCAGTTACATCACCTAAATAGAATCTCTGTACCCATTAGTATTTTCTCCCTATTTACTCCCAGCTTCCTCTACCCCAGCCCTGGGCAACCACTCATCTATTCTCTATCTCTATGGACTTGCCCATTCCAGACGTTTCATATAAATGGCATCACACAATATGTGGTCTTTTGCGACTTCTTTCACCTATCCTAATGTTTTCAAGGTTCATCCATGTTGCAGTGTGTGTCAGTGCTTTGTTTCTGTTTGTGCCTGAATACCATTCCATTGTGGAGATAGACCACATTTTGTTTCTCCATTCACTCACAGATGGGCATTGGGGTTATTTGCCCTTTTTTGATATTGTGAAGAATGCTGCCGTAAACATTCACGTACAAGTTTTTGTGAGTCCCTACGTTTTTCATTTCTCTTGGGTATAAACCTAGGAGTGAAATTTCTAAGTCACATGATTAACTCTGTGTTTAACTGTTTGAGGAACAGCCAGCCTCTCATCCAAAGCGGCCATGTACCGTCTTAAAATCCCACCAGCAGCAGATGAGGTTTCTGATTCCTGTGCAATCTCATTAGTGTGTGTTAGTATCTGATTGTTTTATTATAGCCACCCTAGCGGGAATGAAGCGGTATCTCATTGTGGTTTCGATTTGCATTTCCCTATGATTAATGATACCGAGTATATTTTGGCCATTTGTATATCTTCTTTGGAAAAATGTCTGTTCAGGTAGTTTGCCCATTTAAAAAAAATAGCTTACCTTATTATTGAGTTGCAGGAGTTCTTTATCTATAGACATAGCATTTAGACACACATCCCATATCAGATGTATGATTTGCAGAAATTTCCTTTTTTTTGTGTATTGACTTTTCATTTGGTTGGCGGTACCCCTTGAAGCACAAAAGCGTTTCATTTTGGTGAAGTCCCTTACTCATTTCTTTCTTTTTTTTTTTTTCCCTTTAGATTTTATTTATTTATTTGCAGAGAGAGACACAGCCAGAGAGGGAACACAAGCAGGGGGAGTGGGAGAGGGAGAAGCAGGCTTCCTGCCAAGCAGGGAGCCCGATGCAGGGCTCGATCCCAGGACCTTGGGATCACGACCTGAGCCAAAGGCAGAGGCCTGACAACTGAGTCAACCAGGCGCCCTGTGTCCCTTCCTCGTTTTTTACTGTGGGCCAAACAGGCAGAAATGGCAAGGGGCAGAAATAGCCAAGTTCAGACTGCCTCCATTCAGCAATAGTGGATGCCCTTGCGCAGGTAGCAGTGCTCCATGAGTAAGAAAACCAGTATGATTCTGGGGAAATGGGAGAGCATAGATGAAGTCCATATGAACAGCAGGTTGGCACTGCTACACAGAGAGTGATCCCCAATGGTCAGGACGCCATGGGCATGAGATGGGAGAGCCGTCCAACATGGCGGCGCAGTCTCTCTGGAGGCCAGAGAGACAGCTAAGAACTGGGTGTTTGGGAGGATATACTTTGCCCAATGTCTGAATCCATGATACATCGTCTCGTTTACCATGCCTCGGTTTGTGTGGAGTCATGGGTGGGAGGGTCAGGGAGGGGGTTAGCTTTGAAGTTGTATCAAGCCGTTAGTGAGCTGATGTGAGGTGTGAGGGGGACCTCGCTGGGAAGACAGACTGAGTCTTTCCTTGCCATCGGTCTTCTCAGGTGCCCATCACCTGGAGAAGGAGAGCCCTCCTTGCACTTAGAAATTCAGAAGCAGGAATCCCAGGCTAGTCCCATTGTCAGCCCTGAGGGAACTGTAGATTTCTGATTGGCACCTTCCAGAAGCCTGCTGTCTCAGAACCGAAAGCAGCTTTTGCTGACATCTGGTCCTTCTGGGACGCTGATACTTTTATTTATACAGTGACACTCTCATCCCCAAATAGATTCTTATTTTTAACAGGCTTGCTCCCTTTGAGGGATGCCTGAGGCTCCCAGCTTTGCTCGCTGCTAGCTCAATGTAAACCCTGCAAAGACAGGAAGGTCTCTGGCTTGTGCCTGAAGAGAGGAGGGACAGTCACCAGCCAGGAAGTCTAACAGCTCTGTCTTTACATCCGGAGTCGGAGCTCAGCATTCATCTGGCCTCCCTTATCAAGCTCAGTTCCAAAGGAAAAGCTTCCAATGAGGCGTAATTACTGCCCCTCAGTGACCCAGGGAGGAGAGCAGATAAGAAATGGAGGCTGAAGAGACCCTGATTCCCTCCTCCACTGCCCCCTACCAGTCTACTGCCCATTCTTTCAGCGGGTCCCCTTGCTTCTTGTCTTTCAGCTACCCAACATGTTTGGCGACCTTCGGTCCACGTTTATTGCCTTGATGATTGGATCCTATGCCTCATCCGCAGTCACCTTCCCTGGGATCAAGGTGAGGATGTGGCCAGCCTCCCCCTCTGGCCCTCATGTCTGAGCTGAGGTCCGTCCTGAGGCTCCTTCAACCTTCTCTGAAGAGGGCAGTAACTGTGGGAGCTGGGGTTGCCCCTCCTTTACCACGCACACCTGGGAGGATGCACCTGGGCACCACCGGGGTGAGGAAGGAAACCACCAGGCTGTGGGGGAGGGAAGATTCAAGCATATGATGCAGGGCGTTACTGCAGGCCGCCTTTGCATTTCTGCCATCTCTGGGCTGCGGTAGAGAAAAGGCTGAGTTAGTCTGTCTCTAGTCAGCTACCCCCTCACCAACCCCTCTGTTGTTACTGGGCTGTTACTCCCCATTGGCCGGAGCGGGGCTCTTGGCTAAGTTGGTTCAGCTGTTTCCCTCCCAGGCAGGATTCTGAGCCCGTGGAAGTCACGGCAGGGTCAGGAGGAAGCAAACACCTCACAGTCCATCAGTTCCCAGTTTCCACCCCAAATACTGTTGCTCTTGTCGGGCTTCAGGAGCGGTTTCTCCCACCTCTGGCTTTAACACAAGTCAAATCCCCTTTCCTGCAGTGCAGGGCAGGGAGTCCATAGATGAGGAGAAGGAATCACAATGTGGGCTGGCCACCAGGGAATCCAGGCACTTGGAGGGGGTGGGGCCGGCCATCCTGTAGCCTTCTAGGGATTCTCACACTTCTGGAGTGTAGAGAAGCCTCCAAGTTCCGCCTCCACCTCTTCTTGCTGTCTTACTGCCTCTGCCCTGCCGTCTTACTGCCTCTGCCCTGCCCTGCTCCCCCACTCCTCTCGCCAGGAGTGGGGGAGCTGGGCAGCAGTCTGCCAGGACACTGGGGACTGTCATGTTGGAAATAAATGGTGGCAGTGGCCACAACAGCTAACAGCTACCACGCTCAAGCTCTGTAGGCTTCCCACCTGCCAGGCCCTGTCCCTCTGAGCATCCCACCTGCCAGCCCCCACCACAGCACCAGGAGGGCACATGCCAGTGTTCCGCTCACTTCACAGAGGAGCAAAGGGAGACATCATCTGTTCATTCCTGAAATATTTTTTGGCATCTGCCACGGACACTCTTCAAGGCCCGTCAATGGACGAGGCTAGCAGGTTCCTGTTCTCAGGGAGCAGACTGATTAGGGACAAGAAAAGGAATCAAGAAGTCTGTAATCTCAGCCAGGGCTGTTCCCTGGCAACTAGTGATGTGACAGTGACGGGGGCAGTCAGGGAAGGCCTTTCCGAGGAGGTGGCATTTGGCCCGAGTTGGAGAGACAGAGGGTTAATAAAGTGCCAGGGCAAGCTGGGATTATTGGAATGCAGGGTATCTGATGACCGGCCCCCCGGGCTGGCAGGGCTGTGCCTTCTCACGCCACAGCTCAGCGCAGAGAGAGGAGGGCTGCAAAATGCCCCCCGCCCACCCGCCTGCCTTGGCTTCCCTCTGCTAACTCTTTCCCATGGCCCTGTGCCCACCCCATTGTGCCTGTCAGGTCATCTATGACTTCGGTGTCTCCTTCATCATCATCCTTGTGGTCTGGGCAAGCTGCTCGGGATTGGTTTTCCTCAACTGCTTCTTTAACTGGCCCCTGGAGCCCTTCCCAGGGCCGGAGGACATGGACTATTCGTAAGTGGACACAGTGTCTGCCCCTTACCTCCTCCCTGGCCAGGGTCCCGGGGGGCACCGGTGGACACTGTCCTGTGGCCTCCAGGGTGAAGATCAAGTTCAGCTGGCTGGGCTTTGACCACAAGATCACAGGGAAGCAGTTCTATAAGCAGGTGACCACGGTGGGGCGCCGTCTCAGCGTGGGCAGCTCCATGAGGAACAGCAAGGAGCAGGCAGCACTGCAGGAGGGCCATAAGCTGTGCCTGTCCACCATCGACCTAGAGGTCAAGTGCAAGCCGGACGCTGCAGGTACCCACCTCACCAGCCTCACCTTCAAGTCCTGCCTAGGATGTCACCAGGGGGGTCTGCGCTCATGCCCGTACCTCAGCGCTGCGGGGGAGACAGCCAGTCCGACCTGGAAGCCCCAGCCCTCTTCACTGGGGCCAGCAGCCACCAAGGGCTCTGTGGGTGCTGTCCCAGGCAACTGCCACTGCGTCCCCAGAGGGCAGGCAGCTCCCTGCACCTGGGTTTACAGATGAGCACACTGAGGCCCCGAATGGGTGAGGAGCTCATCCAGCTCAGCTCCCACACCCGGGTGGCCCAAGTCCAGGGCCCACGCATTGCACTTCACGCAGGCCCATCCCTGCATCCAGCACGGGGCGATCTGGGAGGCCAAGCGGGCCTCCCTATATGGCCCGCTGAGCCCCCGGACTATGGGTGGGCTGTGGCCCCAGGGCTGCGGGCCGCGGCCCCCCTGAGCACCGCCGCTCTCCCCCACAGCGGCGCCCTCCTTCATGCACAGTGTGTTCAGCCCCATCCTGCTGCTCAGCCTCCTCACCATGTGCATCACGCAGCTGCGGCTCATCTTCTACATGGGCGCCATGAACAACATCCTCAAGTTCCTGGTCAGCGGCGACCAGGACGTAGGTAGGCAGCCACCGGTGCACGGTCCCCCAAGAGGGCACCTGGTGAGCGGTGGGGACCCTCTCTCGCTAGAGGGGAGGCCCACCGCCTGCGAGGTGCTAGGCCAGGCTGGACCGGAAACAGCAGGCTGAGAAGGCTTCTCCACGGCCAGCCCCACTGCTTCTCTCCCGTTGCCATTAGAATGTCCTGGTTTGGGCAGGGAGGGAGACGGAAATAACACATGTGTTCAGGGTGTGGGGCGCATGTTTTCCATTGCCTCAGGGGCACCAGTGACTTACGTGTTCGCCAACGAAAACAGTGTGCGGGATGGGGGGGTACTTCAGCTGACGGGCAGGCCGACCCAAAGCCCAGCACCTCCCCGCCTGGGGAACCCGGAGGCCAGGCTTGCGGAGAGGCCATGTGCCCAGGGGCAGCACCCCCCCGCCCTTGGCCCGCCCCAGGACCTGCCCCCTGAACTGGGTGGGCAGGGCGGGCCGGAGGCTTCCCGGTGTGGGTGATCCCGTCCAGGCTTGTTAAATTTGGTAAACAGAGGTGATACTGCATGGCCACTTTTCTAAAACAGTACACAAGGTCTCCAGCTGATTAGAGGTTTGGATTCCACAAAGAGAATCAGTACTTCCTCAGGGCCTGAGCTGAGTCAGCTTTAGTCATCCCCAAGCGGGACAAACAGTCAGTAAATCCTTTTTATTGGCAGCCCCGTTGGTGTGCAACTGTTTGTTGGTTTAATTGTTTTTCCCTAGGGGAGGTTACACTAGACATCGCAAGGAGTCAAATACAGTTTTTAAAGGGGGCGAGAAATCGAGCTTTAACAAAAGGGAAGGATGATGAAGGGACCCAGACAACATTGGTTCCACTGTGGAAAGGGGCGTCCTGCGACCAAGTGAAGTGGAGAAGCACGGGCTGTCATGTGCCTTTGGAAAATTTTGTAATGAGCTCTGACACAGTAAAGGCCCTAAGACAGCCCCAGAGGAAAGAGTGAGCTCTTTAGCTTTGTCTGATGATGTGTCCCCAAATTTCTACCACAGAACATTTTTACTGTGTAACACTCATTAAACTCTGTGGGCCGCACTTTGGGGAAAGTTGATGGATCATGTCTAAACAGCCTCTGTTACAAAGTCAGGCCTGGAGATGCAAAGCCCCTGGAGTGTGCAGGGAAGGGCCTGCGCTGGCTTGGGGAAGGCAGATCTCCCTGCCACTGAGTCGCGGACTTTTACTCCAGGTCTCTAAGAAACCTTTGCTGCCGAAGAGGGATTTTTTTCCAACTGTTTCCCACATTCAGAAAGTCAATTAAAAAAAAAAGTCAATTTCAAGAAGTAGAGAAAGTTGGGCCAGGAAATTCAATCTGTAGCTGATAGGGCGTTGGTTTTCCCCGTTCTGCTCCTGTGAGCTCCTGCCCCCACATCCCCCCAGCCGGCTGTTCCCCCGAGGGATTGCCTTAGGACCAGGGAACTGGTGGAATGCAGGGTCTCTGAGGGAGGCCTGTGGTGTCAGACATTGTCGGGGTCAGGGCGGATGCATTGCCCCTCCGCAGCCCTCCCCTCCCTCTCTCAGAGAGTCCAGCTGGTAGGAGGGAACTGACAGAGCAGGGTTCCTGAGGGGCTGGGTTTGCTGAGCCTTTGGCTCGCACACCACTTCCCCATCCTGCTGCTCCGTAGGCACCACGGGCCTGATTCACCAGCCTGCCTGTGACGAGGCCCCGGCTGCACATGACTGAGGCCTCAGCAGACAGGAAGCCCCCAGCTGATGCCTGTGCTGGGGCTTACCCGCCTCCATTCCCAGAAGCCTGGCTCAAGCTCGGCTTCCCTCCCCACACAACCCCCCCCCCCCCCCCCCCCCCCGCCCTGCCCCCCCCACCGCCCGCCCTGCCCCAGGCGCTCTGAGAGTCAGATCTTGGTGGGAAGTGGCATGTGTGCTGGGCCCAGAGCTAGCCTGCTTCCACCCCGATCCCCAACATTTCCCTATAACAACCTTTGAGATTTCTGCTCCTAACCTCTCTCCTTTCTGCTTTTTTACTTTTGCTTTCTTGATGCAGTGATGGCCACTGGTAAGCAGCAGGATTGTCAGAGAACACTGCAACATCTCCTCCAGACAGTCTTTGTTTTACCAAAAAACATCCCTCTTGGCCAGGACTGTGGGTGGGGGAAGGGGCAGTCAACTCAGCTTCTGTTTGCCTGAAAAAAAATCCCCGTCATAATTTGAAGGCTCTTTGAAGATTGGAGCCCTTACATCAGAGCTCCAATGAGTGAGCCTTCCCAGTATATTTCTAGAGGCAGAAAACTAACAGCTAGTCACACATGAAGCCTCAGTCCCAAGCATTGGTAATTTTGTGGTTTCCAAGTCATAGACGCTTCTTGGAGCTTCTTGGGGAAGTCATTGTGACATACTGGATTTCATTAGCCATTTCTTGGAAATAAGCAGAAGATGTGGAGAAGGGAATGGGGTGCTGGCCTCTTGCTCCAGCTTTGATTTCAGAGTTTAAAGTGTCTAGGCCCACAGTGACCCAGGGGGCAGTGTGTGGAAGACCCCAGGAGGGTCTGTGAAGTCTCAGACTCTGCCCGGCTCCTGCTCCGGGCTTCATTGCCCCCCCCCCCATTGACACAACCCATTTTCCTCCCCAGTTGGCCTCTACACGTCCATCTTCGGTGTCCTCCAGCTGCTCTGCCTGCTGACAGCCCCTGTCATTGGCTACATCATGGACTGGAGGCTGAAGGAGTGTGAAGACGCCTCAGAGGAGCCTGAGGAGAAAGATGCCAACCAGTGCGTAAACAGTGTCTGGGCCCCAGCTCCTGGCCCCCCGAGTCTGCTGTGAGGCAGGGACAGGGTGGGTGGCTTAGCTTTTTTGAAGTAAGCAGGAGAGGCGAGAGCGGGTCGTGCCCAGAGCTGCTCATCAGGGCTTTAAGGCACTCTCGCTCTCAGGGCTCAGCCTGCATTTAAGTGTATCACTTCGTTATGAAGATTCTTTGGTCCTCGAAAGTTAGGATGTCCCTGGGCTGGACGAAAGAAGGGGAGGAAGCGGAGGAAGGTCTGTGTGCAGACATTGGGTGTCCGGACATTCTGCTGTGAGGCCTGCACTCAGATGAGCGGCATGATGGCCGAGCGATGCTGACGTGGTCGAGGTCGAGGTCGGTTCCCTCCATGGGAGGGGTACGTTGCTCTACCCGCAGTGCGCGTTCCTGGATCTGTGCATCATTGTCAGGGTTCAGCAAGGTACTGAGCCCCGCTTTTGTAAGGGTTGGGCTCCAAGATCAGAGAATGAGTTAAGTGCCATCTTCCACGACTCCACCTTAACATAATAAGCAGCTGTTGATTGCTGTAGGCCCTGGGCCAAACGCTTAACACAGCATCTCAGTTAAGCCTCACAACACCTCTATGAGGTGTGTGCTAAGGTTATACCCATTTTACAAATGCGGAAACTGAAGTGAGGAGTTTGAGGAGTTTGCTGGGGGTCACATAGTGAGGAAGCGGTGGGCGCGGGACACTCCGTAGGTCTCTAGCACTTGGCATTAATCCTTGGATGTTGAACAGTTGTCCGTGGGGTATCTGTGTGGGCGGTGGGCCTGGAATCGGTAATGGTGAATTCACAAGGAAATAATTACAGAGAATGCTCTGTTATCTAGGTCAGGTCCTAGAGCCAAGAGACTGTTTGTGCCCATTCCGGTTCCATCTGCTGCATATTTGTTTCTCCTTCACCCCCTCCTGCCCCCAAAGGGGAAATCCACTCCCTCCCTTATTTGACTTATTATCTGGCTTATCATGCGCTTCCTGCAGGATTTGGGTGAAGTTGGAGCCAGTTCATGTGGGGGAAATGAGGCTTTGCCACATCCTGACTTGGGCACACTCCGCTCTTTGCCTCGCCATCATTCGTGCTCGGCCTTCACTGAGGCAGTGTGGTGTGTTGGTAGCTACGTTCTCGTAGCCGACCTCTCCACTGAGGTGCACACTCAGTCAAGAGTGTGCAGTGGGAGTGTTCCGAGTGCCGGTCTAGCCCTGGCAGTCCCTCGGACATGCTTGCATTAGTCTCGGAGTCTTGCGTTGTCCACAGACCATGACTCCTGAAGCCTGACTTCCTAGGAGAGCCCACCCTCCTCCAGGGACCCCTCAGCTCCAGCATGTGCTCTTGTCTCCACAGAGGCGAGACGAAGAAGAAACGAGACCGGCAGATCCAAAAAGTCACCAACGCCATGCGGGCCTTCGCCTTCACAAACCTGCTGCTCGTGGGCTTTGGGGTGACCTGCCTCATTCCCAACCTGCCTCTACAGGTGGGTGTGGGCAAAGGAGAGGCCAGGTGGGGTATGGGACGGTGAGACTTAAAGGTACACGATGAGTCATAGAAGCCATCCACAAAGACAGTGGTGACTTTTGTTCATTTAATCCAACCAAGCAATCAACCAGCCCACTGTTATTTACCAAGGGTTTCTTACCTGCCGGGCTCTGTGCTTGATGCTGGGGGTGAGCTCTAAATGAAACTGGGATTGCCTTTCACCGAAAACTCTTTTCTATGAGGGCATATCATGCTTCATGGCCTTTTGGGATCTTGCATACCATGAACACCACCATCATACCATTCCCTGGAACTACATGGGGCAGTCGTATGGCTGCTTGGTTTTGCATGTGTCCAAAGAGGTCTGGCCAATCTATGGCCTTGATGGGACCATATGCTTCTCTGGTATAAGAGTGTCTGCAGGGTGTTGGTGTTGCAGAGAGTGGGAAAGACAGTGATGATCACTTGGCATCCGGGTTCAAAAGCTTAATTCCTTTCCGTAAGATTTCTGATGCTTTTGAAACCGGACTTTTGGCAGAGATTGGAAGCAAAGTAGATATTTGTCACCTGCCCAGCTCTACCCTTGGATCCGTGAAAGTGTTCTAGAGCCAATCCCCAAGTTTATGAACTTCAAGGGGTCATAAGTGACGGCGGTGCTGCCACATGGGTTAACCCAGTCCAGATAGTATCTTGGGCCAGGTCCAGAAGGAAAGTGAGAGTCTCTTCTTTTTGACAAGGGGCAATGAAGTGCATTGAACACCCAGGTGTGCACCACCCATGGGTGTTCCGTGATACGAATCTGTATCCATGCCGACACTGTCTGTGCAGACCACAGTAAACCATCGAAGGCTTGGGAAGAGCATCCTCGTGTCCCTGGTGCCCTCCCAGCTTCCTGGTAGAGAGCTGCTCTCTCTGCAAGGCTGGCCGGTCAGGGGACCATGCTCAGTAGGGTTAGTCACCTGCTTTTTGTTTTACTTAGTTCTCGTTGAAAGAGAAGTTCTGAAGAGGCAATCAGACATTTGAAGTGGGAAGGGGGAGCCTTCGCAAGTGCGCACATGCACAGTCGGGCACAGCCCTCTTTCGACACTGTAGAGAGCAGTGCCCCCTCCACCTCCCACATTTGGGGAACAGGTCCTGGCTGCTAAGCAGGATGGCAGGACTGTGTGCAAAGGACAAACAAAGGGTCCTGGTGGCAAAATGGCCAGCTCTCATGATTCTTGGGAATCATCTACAAGTGCTTCTCAGACCTTTGCTCAACCTGCCAGTGGTGGCCTTTTGGAGAAGCTGAGCTTTCCTCAGGAGGGAAGAAGGAAAACTAGCTGCCTATGGGACCTGGGTGACCAGGCACAGAGATCTCTGGGCACAAGCCTCAGGTCAGCAAAGGCAGGAGATCAAGTCACGATTAATGACCTCCTGTGTAGTGCTGTGTCTATAACATATAGAACATTCTCGGTGGAGGCGGGAGGGGCCTTTACTCAGTGTTTGCCAATTTCCATGGTGTAAATGCTTCCATTGTGGCTGATTTCAACCAGCATGAAGTCACTGATCATGGAGGAATGGGACAGAGATTCATGGGGACACGCCATCATGCAGTACTCCCGCCAATACTGTAGGAGAAGTAAAAAGCTCCCGAGCACAGATAATAGTAAAATGTAGTAAACTAATCAAGGAATGATGAGTTTTGAATATCTGTTAACGTTCTTGAATATAACTTAATTGTAATTGTAAGTTTACAAATTTAATTTTTAGTCATGACTGTCTTTAATAGCTGGCTCACAAAATTCCTGAAAATTCAGGAATGGGCCCTAGAGATCTGGTGCGAACCCACACTGGGTTGCCAGTGCTCCCACTGCTCAGGACCCCAGCAACTCTGAGGACCCTCACACTCTGCTCTCCCTCCCGCAGATCCTCTCCTTTATCTTACACACGATTGTGCGAGGATTCATCCACTCTGCTGTTGGGGGCCTGTATGCTGCCGTGTAAGTGCCGGGTGGTGTGGGTGGCCTGGCGCCGAGGGTAGGGGAATGGCCTAGGGGGAGGTTCGTGGTGGGACGGAGGTCCTGAAGGGGCCAGCCTGCCATCTCGTATCAGGGATGGGCACCAGATTTTTGTTGGCTGTGTCAAGGGACCGTCACACCTGGCGGGAGGTGGGTCAGCGGGCAAAGACAGCTGGGTGCCCACAAGCCTTGGCATCTAGCACGAAGTCAGTTCCTCAAGCCAGGGTCAGTGCTCATTACTGCCTCTGGGCTGCCACTCAGCCGTGTCCTGGGACTGCCCCTGGCTGCTCACAGGAAGGGCAGGGGTGGGCTCTGGCTGCCCAGAGCTGAGCATTGATGTTCCGATGACCCCCAGGAGGGGCAGTGACACGGGTAACTGAGCCCACAGTGTGGTAGACTGCTCTCACCCTGAGTCTGAAAGGGCCTGGTTCTGCCCACAGCCTTCTCAGGCCTGGGCTAAAATGAAACCTGCCTCCTTTTCCAAGAGGCCACATGTGCAGAGGGAACCACCACAGCCATCCTTGCCCCTTCGGCTGGGGTTTGGCTCAAAGTGGAACTTGGGGTAGCGCCTGGCTGGCTCAGTCGGTGGAGCATGCAACTCTTGACCTCAGGGTTGAGTTCGAGCCCCACGTTGGGTGCAGAGATTATTTAAAAATAAAATCTTAAAAGAAAAAAAAAAATAGAACTCAAGCACCATATGCTGTGTGTCTCTGCTTGAAGACCCATTGGTTCCCCACTGGGAGTCCCTTTCTGCCTCTGGGGCTGCAAAGCCTGACGTCCGCTGAGATTTTTTCAGAATTCGGCATCCCACGGGGGTCATTCTAGGTCTGCACCCAGTGCCAGAAGGAAGTTGCCACCGTCCAGGCAGAATGTGCAAGTCCACCAAGAGTGTGATGCCGAGTTTCCGTGATTACACAACGCTCCTCTAGATGAGGGCGTAGCTGAGCCAGGGCCGTCCTCCGACCTGTTCCCTCGGCCCGGTTTCCAAGCTGCAGACTTCTTCTGGCACCACTCATCCCACTCAGCTCGTCCAGCGCCCCCGTGGACCTGGGGCATACATGGGTTGGGTGGGATCCTCCAGAATCTGGGCCCTCACTGGTCTGAAAGAGAAATTGACAGACACAGATCTGCTTAGCAGAAACGAATCGCAAGCAGGCACCCCACCTTCTCTCAGGTGGCTCCCGCCTCTGCTCTGGCACCTGACGTGCTGCCTGGAGGCCCCAGGACACCCGGGGCCAGGCTGGGGCTGAGGGGCATTCAGAAAGCCTGAGAGTGGCACCTGTGGTGACAGGTCCTCTGTTGTCCCGGCAGGTACCCCTCCACCCAGTTCGGCAGCCTCACGGGACTGCAGTCGCTGGTCAGTGCACTCTTCGCCCTCCTGCAGCAGCCCCTGTTTCTGGCCATGATGGGTCCCCTCCAAGGAGACCCTCTCTGGGTAAGAAGGGTCTGGGGCAGTGGGGTGTGGGCATCTGCCCCACTCTGCAGACTCAGAGCTAGGAGGCATCCCTTAGCAGCTTCTGGAGCCCCAGCAGTAGACAGGTTGGAGCTTTGGTTAGGATTGATTCAGGGTCCCCTGGAGACTGGGGGTTGGCCAGGAGGAGAAAAGTATCCTTTCTGGACCTGATGTTGGGGTAGCCCTCCCGCCGAAGGTTGTAATTCCTTACCAGGTACTGTGAGCCTGCCCCAGTCCTGGTCCCAACCCTGGATGTTCACATCAGTAGGTCAGAGGTGGGAGCCTGGGCCCTGAGGGCTTCCTAGCGGCTGTGGACACTGGGAAACTCGGACGCTGGAATGTGGAACGACGGGCCCTTGGACCGCTTGAACCTTCCAGTTTCAGTTTTTCCTTTCTTCTCCTGTGACCTCGCCTTTTCCAAACAGGAGTGTGGGGAAGGGTCTTGAGCCAGGCCCCGCAAAAGACCGCAGCTCCTGCCCGGTCCTCCACCTCGCGTGATGGCAGCTCTCATTTCTGCTTCTCCAGGTGAATGTGGGGCTGCTTGTCCTGAGCATGCTGGGGTTCTGCCTCCCCCTCTACCTCATCTGCTACCGGCGCCAGCTGGAGAGGCAGCTACAGCAGAAGAGGGAGGATGACAAGCTTTTCCTCAAGCTGAATGGCTCCTCCAATCGGGAGGCTTTCGTGTAGCGCCCACCACCTCAGAACTATGGTCTCCTGCCCTTGCTTCAGTGACTCATCAGTGTCCTCCTCCCCATCCCAGAGGACCTCCGTGCACCCTCGGGATCCTTGCCTTCACATTTTGGAGTCCACGCTCCCTCCCAGGGCCCCAGTCCTGCCTTGGAGCTCTGCAGCGGAAGGACGGGAGAGGGCCTGGATGTGCGATTTTCCTAGTGCCGGAAGCAAGGGCTGCTGTGGGCTTTGCTCTGCCATCCTAGAGGGGCCCTTGGGCTTTGAGGCTCAGTGGGGCCTGCAGGGGGAGCAAGAAGGAGCCCTAGCAGACAGGCTCTGTCCCTCATGTGTCTGGATTCTGCCTCTTGCCAAAGCAGTGGGGTCTGCCATCTACTGCCTGCCACCTGCCTCTCGGCCGCATGCCCACTGGCCACACCTGCCCAAGGACAAAGGCTCTCACCGTCTGCAACCCCTCGCCTGCCCCTCGACCTCCTCCCTTGGCCAGTCGGAGGCTGCCTGAGGAAGGAAGGACCCGCTTCCTGTTGTTGGTGCTAACTCCTTTGTAATTCCAGCCCCCTGTGGCCTGTCCATGACCTGTCCTCCTGTTCTAGGCCTGTGGAGAAGCTCCTCCCGCCGGCTGAAAGCCTGGGGAGGGGATGGAGGGCTGGATAGTCAGGCATCGCTTAGGAGCCAAGGACAAGGCTAATGAGCAGACCCTCACCTCCTCCCTCAGGGCGAGGAGTGTTTCCGCTGCCACCCTCCATCCAGCCTGTGACCTGAAGGGAATTAAAACAGCACCAACAGGGCACCCCTGACACACACAGCTGTTTTTATGGGGGTGGAAGTCAGGCTGTTGCTGACAGACATGGAGGGCCAGGCCTGACTGGGGAGATGGGGTTGTGAAGGGCTTAGGGGTGTGTGTACTTGTGGGATGTGTGAGAGGTGTGTATGTGGGGTGGTTCTGAGGTGGGGGTTCTGGGTGTCTGCCCTTAACCTCCCAGAGCCGTGGGACAGGCAGCCCAGGCCTGCCACAGGCCCAGGGTCCCGAGGCTGCCTTGCTCTGGGCCTGGAGCTTGTTTGAGGCCGTGGGGTTATAGTGCCCCCTGCTGGCAGGCTCCTCCAGGGCCCCGTAGCTGTTTACTTGAGAGAGGTGGCTCTCTTCCAGGCTGGCCTGGCTCTCCAGCCACCCGCCTGACTGCCCCCAGAAATGGGTCTGAGACTTCCTGGGAGCGCTCAGCAGGGTGGGTTGATTTTTAGGTTTATACTTTTGGGTCTTTTAAGTTTTAACAGACTCCTTTTTATAAAGCAATAAATCCCATTTTTCCTCCTGGGAAGGGATGACCCTGCTAGCATTTTCAGTTAATGGCTACACGTGCCTGTTTTGAGCTTGAGAAGAAAAGGCAAGACAAGATTTTCTGCCGCTGACCAGCCCCAGTCCTACCCGGTCACTGCCCGTCTCCCTGGGTGACTGCCATCTTAGGAGCTGCACTGGTCAGGAAAAGACCTCACTGCCCCCACCTCACCCCCAAACTGGGCTTGTGCAGATATCTTAAAAGTGGGGACCACCCCTCCTCTGCTGTTCAGCCCAGCCACACCACGAATCCTGACCCCTTGTATCCCCTACTCAGCTTTCCCACCCCTGGCTCAACCACCCTGAGGGTTCCTCCTGAGCTCAGGTCACAGGGTGACACCAAGAGAGTCTCAGGTTCAAAGAGACAGGCAGAACGCAGTGAGGGGAACTTGTGGAGAACAGGAAGGGGCAGACCCAGGCCCAAGTCTGAGCTCTGCATGAACCGTTGAGCACCTCGTGCACACCTCATTTTCCTGGGCTTCCGTCCAGTCCACTCAAACACTAAAAAGCAAAAGAACATATGTTTAAAATAAATATTTTTTAAAAAGAGAGAACTAGATCAACATTTCCCAAACCATTCCTCAGAACACTAGCTTTGTAAGATGCTAATTATTCTAATTTAAGAAATCACGGTCAGGGGCACCTGGCTGGCTCAGTCAGTAGAACATGTGACTCTGGATCTTGGAGTTGTGAGTTCAAGCCACATTGGGCACAGGACTTGAGAGAAAAAGAAAATGGTCAAATTTGGGAAAGGCAGAGTTAAAGTCAAGCACGTTTTCTTATAGCAACAGGCATTTGTTGGACTTCTGTCATGTTCATGGACGTGTTGCTCCCCAGGACCAGGTGCAGTGTGCTGCAGAGGGAGCACTGGTTTTAGTAGTCAGAGCCGTCCTCCACGTGCAGCCTAGTGACCACTTGTTAGAGATGTGAACGCTAGGTGTTGCCTCTGGCCTAGATGGAACGAGCAGTCCACATTTGGCTGAGCCCCACCTGGTGATTCTGGTGCCCCCCAAATGTTTGAGACCTCATTCTGCCCTGACCGTAGGGAGTTGGTGGATTACATATTTTCCTACCATCATCCTTGAATCGTGATAACAACCCAGGAACCAGATACTATCCCTATTTTATAACTGGAAAACTTGAGGCCCAGAGGCTGTTTGGGGAGATGCTAATTAGCAAGAATTAGCAAAGGCCATTCCCACTGGGAAAGTGAATGAAGGTTGTACAGTCAGGGCTCGTGCTGTCCCCAGGTGCGCCCAGGCCCAGCCAAAGGGAGCTGCTGCCTGTCTCTCCCACCCACCCGCTTGCAGGACATGAGCACTCTGTGGGAAGAAACAGGCCTTGAGAAACTAGGGCTCAGGGGGGAAAATATTCTAGGGCCAACAGCATGTGGAGCCGTACTGATGGGCCAGGTACCTGTTCCCCCACCTCCTTGTCAGGGGCCAGTCATTCTGCTCTGCCCGTAGGGAGTTGATGGGTTACATATTTTTCTATTAGCATCCTTGAATCATGATAACAACCCAAGGAGTTAGATACTATCCCTTTTTTGTAGCTGGAAAACTTGAGGCCCAGAGGGTATAGTCACTTGCTCAAGGTTAGACCTGGTACTCCTATGCTCCTAAAGTCATCAGAGAATCCAAGGCCCTCCAGACCAGGACATTCCATTTGGAGCTTCAGCTCCAGGGCCCACTGGGCCTCGGGAGCAGGGCAGCAACAGACTGGGGAAGGGAAGCAAAAGGCCAGGCCTGGTCTCCATTTCCCAGAGCCAAGAGCTTCCTCAGAGAGGGAGTTGAGCTCTACTTAATAGAGTCATGTTGGCTGATGGATACTTGACCAAGGGAGCAAATCTCCGGTCACCCCAACCCTGAGAGGAGTGCCATGGGAGGGGAAGAGACCATGAGCTGGTCAGAGGCAATGGGCATCAAGGGCCACAGACATCTGTCTCCACCTCCCCTCCCCCCATTCTTCAGGCTCCTGGCGGGAAGGAACGGGAAGTGATACCTGGCCATGCGCTTTTGGTCAGAGTGAGGAAGGGGGCTGATCCTCCCTCAGGAACATTGCCAGTGGTCCCTTTCTTTCTAGTCTTCCTGGACTCTTGCCTAGGAATCTAGTCATTCCTTGGTGGTTGGCTCCCTCCAAACCCTTCTGGGGGAAGGCTCCTACCCTCCTAAAGGCCATGGGTATGGTTGCAGGCCCCTGTGGGTTCCCCTCCATTTTGTTCTTTCTCCTTTCCCACTTGTACCTGGAATCGGCCTGGTGAAAAGAATGTATGCTCCAGCCTTCCTTGTCCTGGCCCTGGGCTATGTAGTCTGAGCGGGAGTCATACTGCCCTGGGGCCCAAGGATGCTGAAATGGGGACCCACCTGGTATTGGGGGTACATAAGCAGCAGCACGAATACGTCCAGCCCAGTGGAGTTTCTGATGAGCTTGCATGTCAGCCTACATGAGTTTGAGTGAATACATAACGGGTCGGGGGGGCTGGTGCAGACAAACAGTGGGCACTCTAGGGTGAGGTGCTCCTGTCACAGAACTCTGAGAGGTCCTCTCCACAGGATTGGGCTTTGGGGGCCATTTAAGCACTGGCTCCCCTCCCTCTGAAGGAGTATATAATGGTTTCTCACAGGTTCTTGGGGTGGTGAGATGCCTTATCTGTACCAATTACCAGGGCCCAACCCAAGGGACATAGCCCGTTTTCCCCAATATGGATGGTGACATTGTGAGGATTTGGAACCCAGGACCCCCAAAGTGAAGGAGTTGGCTTTCCGTAGGCTGCAGCACCCCACCCCCAGGGTTGGGGGTTGGTCAGGGTGAATAGGTGAGCTCTGTCAGCCTGTTTCCACCCGTGCCCTAACTCCCTGGGGTGAGGGTCCTGGGGTGGGGGTACAGCCTCGTCCACGGCCGGCCTGCCACGGGGAGGAGCTCTGTCAACAGGGAGCCACTACCTGTGCCCCTGGGTCTCCGCAGACAGCACGCCCACCTTCGAAGTTAGTCATTCTCTGCCTCCTGGAGTGGATCTGAGACCGACCAGGGCCCCTGGCAGCTCCCAGCCCCATCCCAGCATGAGGCTCCCTCTCCCCGTGTGCCAAGGAGGCAGTGAGAGAAGCAGAGCTTAGAGGCCCCACCACGAATACCATCTCAGTGCCGTTAGGCACTCTTGAGCCTCAGTTTCCTTATCCTTATCTGTAAAATGGAGGTCATACCCTCACCGTGAGGTAGGGGAACACGGACACAAAGTCCCCGCACAGTGGTCTACTTGGCACTTAGGAGGTACTTATCAAGTGACAGCATTGTTTATGATTTAGGAGGCGTCCAGAGAGCCCAGGGAACAAAGACTACCCCACCCCCCAAACCCCATCCTATAATCGGACATCTACTCTGGGCACCTGGAACCAGAACAGGCCTGTGTTCACCCCTCTCTCTCTCAATCTCTCTGAAACCCTCTCTATGCAAAAACCTTAAGAAGTTGTCCCCTTGTCCATTTTTCTTTTATGCCCCACATTTTAGTAAAGGATTTGGCCCTAAAGCCCCTCAAGGTAATTTCTAAGTGTTGAGATACCCTGACAGCTTATGTAAAGCAGGGTGACAGGTCACGGTGTGTAGGCAGCACCGCTGTACTTCCTCTTGTACAAGCACTTGGCTGTGCACAATGTGTTCACATGTTCAGGGCCCATCAGGTGTGAACATGTTTTGAGGAGTGTGTAGGAGCTCATCCGTGTGCTGCTTCCCCAGCTGGAGAAGAGGGAGGGGATCTTGCCTCGCTGAATCCCTGCCCATCGCTGGAAAGTCCTGGGTCCGGGGTGGTACCTGAAGGGTTCCTCAGTTCCCTGTGTTAACCAGGGTCAGTGGTGTCACCAGAGCTCAGTAACGGACCCTGACTCCCTGCTTCATTGCTGTCTCTGGCCCCCAACGTACTTCCTGGCCCACAGTAAGCACTCAATAAATTTATGCAGAGAATGACTAAGAACCTCTTCCTCCTCAGCTTCCGGTGTCTCTTCCTAAGTCACACGTATTTCTGCCCTTTGCCTTTTGCTCAGATTCTCTGTCACTTGTCTGACCCATGCTCCCTGACCCCTCCCACTCCTTCCTGCAGCACTCGCTATCCCCCAGCTTTACTGGATTAGCCTTCCCCTCTGCCATTTGAAGAAGTGGGCGAGGGACAGAGTAAGGGGCATCTTGTGTGGAAAGACCAAGTCTCCTGGTGAATTCTGGTTCAAAAGGGAGCTCACTCTTGTCCTTTTCTTTTTCCTAACATGGTGGTCATGGACATGACGGCTCCTCCTGTAGATTGCCCAGCAAGCCAGCCATCCTCCTCCCAGAGCCCTGGGCAGTGGCAACGACAGTGAGAGAGAGAGAGAGAGAGCACGAGCGCCAATGGGTGTCTCCAGAGAATCCCCAAGGGGATCGCCACCACAGGGAAGGCAGGGGCAGCCTGGCTCCTGACCTGCCAGGGGGGAGGGGGCTTGAGGCCCA